CTCAGAATGAGCTGCATTCATTACTGACTATAAATCATGCGGTCCCTAATTCATCGAACGAAACAGTTGATTTCTCAATTGGCTAGTGATCAAGAAGTAATAAGAGAAATAAATCATTTTTACCAACAACATTCTTGAAGATTGATGCGTGTTTATGGTAAATAAGAAAGTTTCTGTGCAGATGCGTTTGCAAGCAAAAATCTTTTAATAGAAAATGGTCAATGGTGCTTACGATCGATTTAAATGTTGTCGAAAACACTCCGCATAGAGAACTTATATTGCGATGAAGGGGAGGGGAATTCGCTCTGTTCAAACGAAAGCTAAAGAGATTGACGAATCATTACTATGAACATGCTGAATGCTCGTTGAACAGCAACATTATGAAAGTGTTTTGCAGATATGTATGTTCTTATCGGCTGCCTATCATATGTTCGGATGTGCAAGTGCAGATGAACGAAGAAGGTGGCTTCGTTTCGATCAGTGTGGTATATCGGCTGGATTGATCTCGATCTATTTGTCTGGCATTTATACGGCATTCCAATGTTTCGAGGTATTTGCTTACCGTTCCAATGCACATCCTTCCCACTGAAAATGTGATTTCAAATGTGCTCATTGCAAGAAAAGTATTCGAATTAGGTTTACTCAAAATTTTCGAAGTTCTCTCAGAATTCTCCATAATATAGTCGTCGTTGCATCAAAAGTTTCGACTGGTGAAATCTTGCGTGATTAAGAGATATCGTGACGATTTGAAGAGTTACATAGGTTTTGTTTTGTTAAGAATTGGCGAACGAACTATATCACAGTTGCGCTGGGTCTTTTCGCATTCGTTCTGTACATACCATCAAGAAGTGGCATAATGGATTCGAAACTATTCGGTACTCGAGTTGGATACCTTCACTTGATCTATATGTGCGTTGCGCTTTTTGGAATGCTGCCGACTGTGCACTGGTTCTCACTGCACGGTGGATTCGAGAATCCTCATGTTGTGGTAGGTTGCATTGTCAGAATGACTTGCTCTTATGAAAAATGCACTTGATTTGCAGAGATGGAGCAATCCAACACGAAGTTTTTATTTAACAATGTAATTTAATAATGATATCCTAATGTTTTTTGATATAGTGTGAAATAAATTTTTGCTTTATTTTCGAATCCCTCAAAACATATGTATTAGCTAGAATGATGAGGTAAATTAGTATAAGGAAAAATATTCGACTGCGATATTCGATAAAGTTTCAAGAGGTTTTCACATTATCGAGTAGACGAAATCGATTGACGATTGATAATTTGCTAATGAGCTCTCATCATATGTTTCATTCTATCGATGAATAATTGCGAATAAATGAAAGTGCAAATTTCAGTCATGGTTACCGAATATTTTCATACTGTATACACTGATTGGATTCGCGTTTATTTTCTATGTGACAATGATTCCGG